ATTTATATAATATTTTACCTCTAATACACCACTATGTCCAACTGTTTATGTTAATGGGTGTGTTGATATCCAGCCGAAGAGCAATCAACCATAACTTCAGGCGAGCAGGCTCAGAAGTTGGGAATACGTGGAAAGTCACCACTCCCGAATGCGTTCGCGCGAGAGAACGTAATCTTTTAGGTTAAGTCGGTTTGAACAATCCGGATAAGCGCAAGTAAGTACCATTTTGATTAGCCGTCGTACCTACAATGGCTGTGCACTGTGTAAACAATGAGTGACGTATACGCACGAGAGATCACTTCCGGCGCTTGCGTAAACTACGCCAGAGCGCGTACACACCTCATGAACCGGAGGCCGTGCGCGCGCCCAAAGACAGTTGGACATAGCGGTGTATTAGAGGTAAAAAATTATATAAATACTGTTGGGTTTCTGGCACAAACCGATCGTTTCGTTAAAGGTTAAATGGTTAAAGTTAAAAATCATCATATGTGTTCTACTGAAGAAACAAAGTGCCCTGGTGGTAAGCAGATAAACATTAAATTTTCATTTTTGGGTGTACTATCCCTTTAAAGCAGCACTATATAACGTTTGTCGCTCTAGCGGTTAATAAACCGAACTGCACACGTCCCGCGGAAGAACATTCTAACCGGATCTACTTCTCTAAGTTTATGTCTCTGGCGATTAGCGCAGGTAAAATAACCCTCTAACACTGGCATTTTCTATTATTTTTCTATTCTTTTGACTTGTTTTATTTTTATTTAAAAAATACCCTCTAACACTAGTGTGACTGCTTTTATTTTCCTCATTTGTAAGTCGCTTTGGACTAAAACATCTGCTAAATGACTATTTAAGTTATACACTTTATCACTTCAATTGACCTTGATGACCGTGCCTTGCAATTTTCACATTACAATACTTCAGCATTACTAGAATAATATATAAAACATTAAACTAATATATTAAATATATATAGCACTATATAAAAACCGCATTACTACTACTCTGAAAGAGTATCATTATTTTAATGATTGCATAAGTATATATGCATGTATATTACAGGTTCAAACTATAAGCATAAGCTTTTAAAAACAGATGTGCAGTTAAAAAAAAAAAGGTTATTAACTGAAAAACCGTGTTAGAAACTGTTATTCACACAAAACAACAGATTACACAGGCAGACGGATAGGCCCCGCCCATCGCTGATGTGGGCGGCTCACATCAAAGGCGGTTTCTAGAAGTGGGCGGGAGCTCGTGTGACGCAGACCAATCAGAAGCCTCGTCTCCTCAGCGGGTGCGGAGCAGTGTGTGTGTGAGACGCGTGCAGAAACAGAAAGAAACGGGACAGAATCCCGTTAACGGAGAAGCCCTCGAGCTCCGCGCCTGTCCCCGAGGCGCTGCACACTCCGACCGCACATCTAGACCCAGACAAGCGTAAGTTTTAGTCTCTAGTTTGCTTTGTCTCTGGATTATTCTCCTCAGGGCTTCAGTAGCGCGGCCTGAACGCTCGCCGCAGTGTGTGTTTGGACATCTCTTTTGTTTTAAAGTCATATTTCTTATATGTCATCTGTAATATATAATATAATAATATGATATGTTATCAATAATAGGCTCATGCTGCTTCTTAGTTGTGCATATGCATATATATATATATATATATATATATATATATATATATATATATATATATATATATATATTGGGGTATCTGTTTTAATAGTCTCAGTCTCTAACAGTCTCTGTGTCTCAAACAAAACAAAACAAGAAGTTGTAGTATAGTAAACAAAGTAGTAAATAAATATTAAACTAGCTGGTACCCATTCTGGCATACTTTTTTTATATTTTTTTTTTTTAAATTTTTTTTAAATGTTTTTTAAAATTATTATTATTTATTACATTGCATCAATGCCTTTTACTCACTATTGCACTATAGTTACATTTTATTTTAAAATTATTTACTTAAATTTAAATAAAATAAATTGATTACATTTATTTGAATCAAATTTATTTGAATTTTATTTGTGTGTATGTATTAGGGATGGGCGATATGGGCTTTAAAATATATCACGATATTTCTGGTATTTATTACGATAACGATATCAATGACGATAATTCAGGGAATCCTGTTTCTTTTAAGAAAAGTATTATCTTTCCTATTTTTACTCAACATAGGGTGAGCATTAACCTCCTGAGACCCTGCATCCTCGTATGAGGACATTATACTGTAGTGTATTTCTCTGAGACTATACATGCCACAGTCTGGAGTCCTGTACGGAGCACATTCAGCGCTTTCCAGAGATACCAAATGATTGGATGTTTCACCGTCACCACTGCCTCTCCTCGGTCTTCAAATATGTCTGATATTAATTTAGCGACCCTCTTATGGAAATATGATAATATTTTGTAATTGTCATTTAAATCGGACGCATTTTTAAACTGTGTGTCATAAATCAACATCTCAGGAAAATGTTACGGGGTTTCAAATTAAAATATAACTTTGTTACGAAACAGGAGGTTGATTTCATGCATGTCCTCGTATGAGGACACCGGGACTAAAAGCATGTTTATTACGCACTGTGGGAGACACAACACATGAATAGGGAAAGAAAATATATTTCAATATTCCTATGAAATGATATATTATTATGAAAATCTTGTCAATTATTACTCTCAATATTACACTTCTTTTTTCCATTACATGTTGCCCCAAAAACACATTAATATGCAAATTAGATTTAGTTTATAGATGCGTATTATATAATGAGAAAACCTGTTTGTGGCCATTTTACACACATTTTGCATGAAGAAAAATGGTATATCAAATCAGTCTGTTATAACATAGTTGAGAATCATCTTTATACAAAGTTCCTAAAATCCTAAAAACTAAAAATGTATTGGTGATTTAAAAGAAATCTATTGTAATATGCAAATTAGATTTAGTTTATAGATGCGTATTATATAATGAGAAAACCTGTTTGTGGCCATTTTACACACATTTTGCATGAAGAAAAATGGTATATCAAATCAGTCTGTTATAACATAGTTGAGAATCATCTTTATACAAAGTTTGGTAAAAAAAACTCCTAAAAACTAAAAATGTATTGGTGATTTAAAAGAAATCTATTGTTTTTGTCTATGCATGTTCATTCATGTCTTTTTTTTTTAAATTGTTTTTTTTTAAAGAAATTGAGTCCCGATGTCCTCTATCGAGGACGTAGCATAACTTATGAATGAAAAATCGTTTTTTTTTTTGTTTACATTTTTTTTGAATGCTCTAAACAATGTAATGACATCAAAAAATACAATCGTTTTCCTAAAATGTTTTGCGGGGTCCGAAGCGTTCTCTGTAGTCTTCTGATGTCTGATATAATTTAGTTGACATCTTGGGTATTTTTATAAGGAAAGTATATTTATAATGCAATGTTAATCGACATGGCCTTCATCACTGTATATAATGCTACCATTCTGTAATATGAAACCACGTCTGGTCACAAAAATAAGTATTTCAAACACTCGACTATGTCATTAAGTTAATTTGGAGAAAAAGCATGTCAATAAATTATATCTTTGTTGGATAACAGTTTTGTAAACAGGCTCATACACATGCAAAACTGTATCGCACACGTGCTACTGTAGTAACGTTACATTTATTCAGACCGATTTTTTGTGCACTGTACAGCTCTGACCAAACCAGTTACAGCTCGAGCTCCTCATTTAGCGATATAGCTACTCCTCCTCAATTTCACGTCCGCTTTCCGTGATGTCGGTCCGCACTGTCGCACACAGAAATATGTCAACAACTAGACTTTATCGTTATTATCGCAGGAAGACTAATTCTTATCGTGGGGAGAATTTTTACCTGTATATCGCAAACGATAAGATATCGCCCATCCCTAGTATGTGTATACTAGTATATATATATATATTAATAAAATGTTATTTTATCAGTTTATTTTTTAAACATACTTTACACTGTTTTTCTTTAAACGTTTCCACCTCTAGCACTCCCTTGCGACCCCAGTTTGAAAACCCTTGCTTTAGATCAAACCAGTAAGTTTTGTGGCATGAAAATGAAAGTGGAAAGTGACGTGACATGTGGCCAAGTATGGTGACCCATACTCGGAATTAGTGCTCTGCATTTACCCATCCAAAGTGCACACACACAGCAGTGAACACACACACACCGTGAACACACACCCGTGGGACCGAACACACACCCGGAGCAGTGGGCAGCCATTTATGCTGCGGCGCCCGGGGAGCAGTTGGGGGTTCGGTGCCTTGCCAAGGGCCCCTCAGTCGTGGTATTGAAGGAGAAAGCGCTGTACATTCACTCCCCCCACCAACAATCCCTGCTGGTCTGAGACTCAAACCCACAACCTTTGGGTTATGAGTCCGACTCTCTAACCATTAGGCCACGACTTCCCCTATGCACGCTAGTATCCACTTGGAATTGACACCAAGTGACCATCCATGCCGGCCGATATATGGGTTCATCACTACTCATCGCTAGGCCTGGTGTGTTGTGGGATGTGTGTGCTTTTGCTCCGATCACAGATCGTCACTGGTGTCTGGACAGTCTGTCAGTCAGAGAAACAGAAAGACCGAAACGTCTGTCTGCTGGTTTTTCCATAAGGCCATTACAGATCTGCAGCTAATGAGTGTAAAACCCACTTCTGGTTGATTATCCATCTGTTTTCCTCACTGCTTATTCTCTGTAGGGTTGCAGGAGTTTATAATATATATAAGTTAATAGCTATTGATAATGATTAAGTCTTCTGCCATGTAGTAGTAGTTCTGTAATATCTTTACAGTTGTCAGAAGTCGTTGCAACTTGGCATGTTAATGTATAATGGACATATGACAGTGATTTGAACATGGCTCATCTAATTGGGAGTCGAAATGATCAGTTTTATCAACTATTTTTTTTTAGTTTCAGGGGTTTTTCAGTAACTCTGTGATGGTGAAACCCCTGGATTGAGTGTGATTTTTCTCTGTCTGTCTCTCTCTCTCTCTCTCGCTCTCGCTCTCTCTCGCTCTTCCAAATGATGCGTGTGCTAAGTGAGCGAACATCAAAGATCACACAACAGAATTGCATGTGCACTCACGCTCGCTCTCTCTCGCTCGCTCTCTCTCTCTCTCTCTCTCCCTACTGTTAAGTAACGTGTGCATTGTTTTACTTACTTGTTTTTGACATATCCGACCGAACTACAAACTTTTCAGTGATGTCTGTGAGAAAGGGATATTCACTCGACAAGCTCGTACATCTGCGCCGCCGCGCGCTCAATCCACTCAACATGCTTTGTTTATCAGCTCGCGCACATCTCTCTCTCTCTCGCTCTCTCAATTTCAATTTCAATCTCTCTCTCTCCATCCCACGACCCTCTGGAGAGATGAAAGTAATCCAGTCTACAGTAAAACACTGTTTTGTTCCAAAGGTTGAGCTTCCATACACAAAAGCTATTAGAAATGTAATTGTGCTGCTGTAAGATGCCTTCGTTTGGACAAATTCATTGCATGTGCATTTAAAGAAATACACTTTGAAAGAATTGTTTAACTTGAATGAAAGACCGAAATAACTGTTGAAAAAATAAATTGTTTTATTCCAACTTCAAAAATTCATATAAAAATACAGAGAAAGAAATGTTAAACATACTAAAATATCATGCATATTTTAATTTATATTAGTGTTCTGAGAAATGTGCTGTAAAATAAAATAATATAATATTTATATTATGAAAAATAAAATAATTATTATATTTTATATAATATGTTTTTAATATGATATTTTATTAAAAAAAATTTTTACAGAGAAAGAAATAAAGTATAATCCATCCATGGTGGATGAAACGAGAGAATTGCTGGTAATAGATATGCTTAAATTAATTCAGTACCAAAAAAAGGATATCACATATTATGGTAAAAATAAAAGTATAATTTATTACATTGTCGACAGCAATATGCTGAGCGTCTCAAATGGTTATTTTTTATTTTGAAGGGTGTTGCCTGTGAAGTCAGCAAGGCTGGGTGCTGGAACAGAGCTCTCTGTCAGGTTTAACGGCTGCCAGCGAGCTCTGGCCCGGTCTGATGGGCTTTGGCCTTCATCTGAGCCTGCTGGTGGGCTGAAAGGCATTTGACTGCCGTTCAGAAACCGTCAAGAAGCCATTATTGATGCAGGATATTCATGCAGCGAGCTCTGGCTCACTTACAATGGCTTTACAGGACTTTTTGAGTAAAAAGCATACAGTTTCTCATTCCCTCCAAGGCATTTGCAGGAATATGCACATTCGTTTAGACGTTTATCTTGTTGACCTGATCGATAATAAAACTTTCCAGTGTTTCTTAAAACGTGGCCAGAGGGAAAACGAAAGATAAAATGACCACAGAAGCTGAGAGGCCGTAAAAAGTCTGCGATAATAAAACCGTAGATGTTGATGAAGCAGATCTTCCCATTGTTCATGTTTTTAGTGAGTGGGCAGAAAACAGGACACAAGTGACTGTATATTCTATTACAAAATCATACAGGTTTCCATGGAAACGTGTTTTGTTTCCATAGCGACCACAGTCATGCCCACACATCTCTGTGCTCTTAAAACATACGCAGAGTTTAATATAACGCTACATTAATCTCTGAGCTAGAAACATAATTTCTGTTTGTCATGATAATCATTTTATTGTTAAATGAGCTCGGCAACATGCTATAAGAGGTTATCGCTTTCCTAGAGTTATGATTTGTCAGCATATTTTATTTAGGGATGCACCAAATGTTTGTCTGTAATGATTTAATGTGTCAATTTTTGGCATTTTCAGGCAAAATAAACCATTGCTTTAACTGATCTGTTTACTATAAAAAAAAAAAAAAAACCGTGCATGCACAAAATGTTACTTATACTCAAAGATATCACACATATTTGCATTTTTTCAAGAGTAATGGTGTTCTATGAGAAGTGTGCTGTAAAATAAAATATTATAATTATTATTATTTCTTTACATACCAATTTTTTTTCTAGAGAAATATTACGATGGTAACATTTCGTTTTGTTTATTTTTATTTATTATTATTGCTACTATGAATTATTACTATTAATAATAATACTACTACTTATTATTATTATTGTTAGTCAAATGCACATTTGCAGCTGTGCATCCGCAAAGTTAAACACACTAAAAATATTAAATATACTAAAAAATATAGCATTTTCCCAAAAATAATTCTTGCAGAAATTCAAATGTCAATTTAATCTTTTTATTGTAATTGCATTTTATGCGCAAAAAAATCGTTTAAGCATTATTAATTTAAAACACATTCTAACATTAATAAAGATTTATTCCAAAAGGCAGGGCTCTATGCTTACTTTTCTTTTTAGGAGCACCTTCTAATCAATAATCCAAAATTTTATCAAAAAGTAGCCTTCCCATTACGAGGTGATATTTGACTCCTCTGACTTTACTAAAAGTATGTCATCTTTTGTCAAATTCTTTAAAAAATTATATTTTATAAGCTTTTTAAAAATGGTAATTAAAACGACAGAATAAGAACAAGTAGAATAAGAAATATAAGTTACCAATCAAATGAAGTCGGTATTAACAAAATTAATTTGTAGAGGTGGCACAGACGAACACAAAAGTGACATTTAATGAGGCTCAGAAGTGGAATGAGTGCAATTAAATCCATGATGATATTAATGTTTTAAATATAAAATTTTGAATCTAGAAATATTAAATGATTTAAATAACTGAAAAGATACTTTAAAAATTAATCTAAAACTGCCAGCAGGTGGCGGCAAGTCACTGATTTTATCACTGAATCATTCATTCAATTGATTCATTCGAACGACTGATTCATTCAGGAACGAAGCACGTGACTGTCTTTATGAATGAATGGGTGATCATGAATCACTGACTCACTAAAAAACCCCGTTCATTCATAAACGAGACACCGCTGTGTTTGAATGGAGATGCGCAGCGGCTGAGCTGTGTCTTTGTTTTAAACTATTTTCGACGACGAAATAGAGCAAAATCAGACAATAGTGTTATAGTCAGACAATGGAAGTCACTTAATATTAGCTTCTTGTTTATTGAATTGTATTAAATCAGTATCACATTTACAAACTCCTTTAAAATCATTAAAAGCTGTCACTCATCTCAGTTCATCGCGAGCTCACATTTATAATCAATGAATCTCTTATTTACACCCTGTCTACACTTTGCTTATGAAAGGATTCGTGAGATATGACCGTTATTGTGTCTGGACGGATTGTGACTGGCCATTTATGGATAAACGCTCTGCTCGGTCCTAAAGGGTCACGGCGTTTGTCTGCAACTAATGCTAAAATCAATCAAAAGCACAACGGAAAAACTAGGGCTGGGCGATATAGGTAAAAAAATCTATCAACGATATGGCCTAAATTTATATCACGATATATTTATTAATTTCTCTGATGAATAGAAAGTTCAGAAGAACAGCATTTATTTGAAATAGAAATCTTTTGTAACATTATAAATGTCTTTATCATCACTTTTAGCATCCTTGCTAAATAAACATATTAATTTATATAATTTACTACTAATCACGGAACCGGTTTTTGAATGGAATAGTGTATAATGTTACAAAAGCTTTTTATTTCAGATAAATGCTGATCTTTGGATCTTTTTATTCATCAAAGAATCCTGAAATAAAAAAAATGCTTAAACTGTTTTAAATATTCATAATTGACACTGAAGACTGGCGTAATGATGCTGAAAATTCAGCTTTGATCACAGGAATAAATTACATTTTAAAATATATTCAAATAGAAAGCAGTTATTTTAAATAGTAAAAATATTTTAAAATGTTACTGTTTTTGCTGTACTTTAGATCAAATAAACGCAGGCTTGGTGAGCAGAAGAGAATTCAAAAAAAAAAAAAAAAACATTAAAAATCTTACTGTCCAAAAACTTTGACTGGTAGTGTAGGATGATTATTCTTATAGATTGAAACAAATGTGCTTTAGCCAGTATAAAGGGTATGAAAGGTGCTCTGAGTTTCTGCAGAAAAAAAAATAGAGCTACAACAAAAACATGTTGCTGGAGACGGGCTTTTAAAAACGCAAACTGCTTGTCCGCCAGCAGGAGGCGCTGTGAGAGCGGCAGAACTAGCGGGTTCTCCTCCGCCGTGCGCTTCTCGTCCGCGCTTGTTTACATCAGAGTGCGCACGCCTCTCTCACGCAGCGTACAGCGCTGTTGTGCATTCTGATCAGTTGATGGGAAAAGTATTCTTAAAATGCATTCAAAATTCGAAATAATTTGTAATATATAATTATTCACGGTATTTAGAAGTGCCCACGATAACAATACCGTGCATATTCATCACTGTGACGTTTTAAATCACAATTTTTATCAGAAAAATAAAATTTCCACCCCCAAATCATGCAGGTCACAATACATTTTTCAGGTTTTGAGTAGATAATTGTAACTTTATCCTACAATTCTGACTTTTTTTTTTTCCTCCTCGCAAATCTCCGATATAAAATCAGAATTGTGAAATACTAAATTGTACAAATTGTGAGTTAACATCTTGGAAATTCATGCAATTGTGAGGAACAAATGTCAGAATTGAGAGAATTTTTTTATTGTTCAATACACTATTTATAGTCTATTTATTTTCTGTGATATTTAACAGCATCACAGATGCATTATGTAGAGCTTAACTAGTTTGATTAATCTAATCGCTGCATCTGTGTGATGATGGTCCAGTTGCTATGGCAACAGCAGTGTCTGTTTCAGTTGCAATGAAGCTCAGTGTCCTCTGTTTTCTCTCCTGGACGTCACGTTTGTCTTGACTGCTTAATGGACGGAGAAAGTGCATTATGTCCAGAGCACTCGACAGTAAACGTTATAACCGTTATAACCATCCGCACACTCCCGCTGTGCAGCATTCTGTCTCTCATGCCGTTAAACCGTTTAAAAGTGGCTCTTAGTGGGTCAATCTCACATCCGGATCGGATTTCACCTCAAAATCAAATGAGCATCAAAATATATGCATTTTGCATCACAAGTTCGATCACAAGTACTGTACTTTAGTTTTTAGTGCGTAGCCGAAGTATGCAAATTCCCCGCTGACCTTTGACCTGTGCTGCAGGTGTGTGATGAACGGAGACTCAGGTGCAGGGGTGGTGACGGCCCCCCCGCCCACCAACCCCCCTCATAAGGAGCGTTATTTCGACCGCGTGGACGAGAGCAGCCCGGAGTACCAGAGAGAGAGGAACATGGCGCCGGACCTGCGGCAGGACTTCAACATGATGGAGCAGCGCAAGAGAGTCTCCATGATCCTGCAGAGTCCAGTGAGAGCACAACACACACAGACAGACACGCGCGCACATACACTCTCTCTCTCACACACACACACACACACACATACACTCTCGCATGCACTCACACACACGTGCACGCACACACACACACACATACGCACACACACTCTCACACACGCGCACACACACACACACTCTCTCACACAGACCAACACACTCTCGCATGCACTCACACAAACGTGCGCACACACACACACACACACACACACACACTCTTGCACGCACACACACTCTCACACACACACGCTCTCGTATACACACACACACACGCACTCTCACACGCACTCACACGCACGCGTGCACACACTCACACGCACGCGTGCACACACTCACACACACTCACACGCACACGCACACGCACGCACACACACACTCACACTCACACTCACACTCACTCACACACACACAC